ACTTTATGGAGACAGTGGTAGAGGGAACATTTTGGTGGGCTTTAATAACCATTAAGAGGTTAAACTGGTTACAGCACTGAGGAACAGTTACAGAGACCATTAGTAGTACTTCCTGAGATATTTGTAAATCTTTTCTTTGAAATCTTTGTCACTCAGTTTAATTTTGTATATTACAACAGAGGGCATTTTTGTTCTGCTGTGAAAAAATAAGGAAGTCAGTAGTACATTCAAGGTATGGTTTCATAGAGATGTATTTAATTCTGAAATGTTTGAAGAAGCTAGTCATGTATTATGTGCAACAGGGCAAAAAGTCAAGAAGAGTACGCTTTCATCTGCTTCCCTACATTACATATAAGGGAAGGAAAAAAGAGGAAGGAAGCCATGTTCTGTGACTCCTACTCTTCTCACATGGTATCTTTGTGGACTGAAAAGGTCACCTTTCAAGCACTTTTTAATTTAAGGTAGTGAGTATTCAGTATTTTCCTACAGGAATTAGGACAGTGGAAAGTGTAGTAGGATATCAGCTGTCACAGAAGAAGGAAGGGAGGAAGGGAGAGAAAGAGGGATGAAGGAAGAAAGGAAGGAAGGAAGGAAGGAAGGAAGGAAGGAAGGAAGGAAGGAAGGAAGGAAGGAAGGAAGGAAGGAGGGAGGGAGGGAGGGAGGGAGGGAGGGAGGAAGATGGCTTTTATCTAGATTCTCCTAATGAATACAAAGTCACACTGAATTTCTAGTAGTTCCTTTCAGCATTTCCGAGAAGATTCCACCACCATTTTCACTCTGATACAGGTGGCCCCAAGAGCTCTCAGGGAGAATGCTAAGACCAGATGACTGAAAATAAATCTGATCCTTCCAACCCTCCCCCCCCATCCTGTTAAAACTACCACCCCCTTAGCCCTCTCCATCCTGCCAAAACCAATGAAGCTTCTTGGATGAGAGGTTTTGTTTAAAATGGATTTGTTTATTTCACATTTAAAGGTGATAGGATAGAATAGAATAACAGAGTTGATAGGGACCATGGAGGTATTCTAGTGCTACCCCCTGATCAGAAAGGAAACCCTATACCATTTCAGACAAATGGTTGTCCAGTGTCTTCTTAAAAACTTCCAGTGTTGGAGCATTCACAACTTCTGGAGGAAAGTTGTTCCACTGATTAATTATTCTGTCAGGAAATTTCTCTTTAATTCAAGGTTGCTTCTCTCTTTGATTAGTTTCCACCTAATCCTTCTTATCCTGCCCTCAAGTCCTTTGGAGAATAGCCTGACTCCCTCTTCTTTGCAGCAACCCCATCCAGTTGTCTTTTGAAAAAGGACCTTTTTTTATTGAAAATTTTTAAAATTTTACAAAAACAAAACAATTTTCCCCCAAACCTCCCCAACCCTCCCATTCCCTCCCCCAACCTTCCCAGAGCTGAATATAGGCTTAATTAAAGTTTCTTCAAAAAATCTTAGAAAAAATATAAACCATAAATAAATCTAAATAGATTACTTAAGAAAATTGTAAGATAATTAACAATAGTGTGTATATGAAAAACATAAATACAAAAAATAAATGTTTAGAAAAAAAAAGAATAAAGAAAAGGAAAAAAGAAGAAAGATAAAAATATTAAATTTTAAATATAAGTTATTAAAAAACTAAATAATATTTTTTATATCCAACTTATGTTGTATAAAATCTATCCATTTTTTTCCATACCGCAACATACTTCTCTTGCTATTGATCCTTCAAGAAAGCCGAAATCTTTGCCATTTCCGCCAAATAAGAAACTTTGAGAAACCACTCTTGCAAAGTAGGCAAAGATTCCTTCTTCCAACATTGCCCTACTAACAACCTTGCAGCTGTAATTAAATTTAACATCAATGTAATCTCTTTGGTATCACAATCAGTAACAATACCTAACAAAAACAATTGTGGGGTAAATTTTACCCTCCTTCTAAAAATTCTTTGAATATTCCACCATATCTTAACCCAAAAGGCTTTTATATTTTTACACGACCACCAGATATGATAGTAAGTAGCATCCAAACATCCACATCTCCAACATTTAGGCTGTAAGTCAGGATACATACGAGACATTTTTTGTGGATCAAGGTGCCATCTGTAAAACATTTTATAAAAGTTCTCCCTTAAGTTCTGGGCTTGTGTAAATTTGACATTCCTCACCCAAATAGTTTCCCAGGTATCTAATAGAACTGGTTCACCAAAGTTTTGTGCCCATTTAATCATACATTCTTTAACTAATTCCACTTCTGAATCCAATTCTACTAACACCCCATAAATTCTCTTAATGTGAGTTCGTCTTTGATCTTTTACTTGTTTGAAAAAGTTTTCATCTTCTCTAAGCAAACCCACGTTACGATCTATCTTCCATCTATCCACTATTTGTCTATACTGAAACCATGAGTATATAATATTTTCTTGTGCTAAATCTTCCAAAGATTTTAACTGCCAATTTTTACCATCCCATCTAAGTAATTGTGCATAAGAAACACTATCCATCTTAACTCCTCTCCTTATCCCTTCTATCGCATGCCGTGGTATGGCCCATAATGGAATTTTGGAATCACTTCTGTAATATTTCCTCCATACCCGAAGTAAAGAAATCCTTATTATATGAGATTTAAAAACCCTATCAACCTTTTTATTAAAAATTAAATAGGCATGCCATCCAAAAAGTAAATCCCAACCCTCCAAGAGGAGTATTTCTACATTTGTTAAATTAAGCCAATCACTTACTAATGTTAAAACCACAACCTCATAATACAATTTCAAATTCGGTACCTTGAGTCCACCTCTCTCGCGAATATCTTGTATGATTTTAAGTTTTACTCTTGGTTTTTTCCCTGCCCAAATGAATTTGTTAATACCTTTCTGCCATTCATCTAAATTAACCTCATTCTTTAAGATAGGTATCATTTGAAATAAAAAAAGAAACTTTGGCAAAACATTCATTTTAATCGCCACAATTCTTCCCAAAAGAGATAATTGCAACTTCTCCCAATTTTTCAAATCTCTTTGTACCTTGACCCACAGCCTTTCATAATTGTTTTTATACAATTTTACATTAGAAACAGATAAAATAACCCCCAGGTATTTTACCTCATCAACAACCTCAAAATCTGTCAAATTAACCAAAGTCTGCTTGTCCATATTTTTGGGCAATATTTTAGTCTTATTGTTATTAATTTTAAAACCCGAAACCCGTCTATATTGATGTATCAATTGTAGTAACTCTACTACAGAATAAATAGGTTGGGATAAGGTAACCACCAAGTCATCTGCGAAGGCCCTTAATTTATATTCTTTTTTATTAACTTCTATTCCTTTTATTTGCTGTGATTCTCGAATTTTAATCAGCAATATTTCCAAAGTTAGAACAAACAGCAATGGTGACAATGGACATGCCTGTCTAGTCCCTTTTTCTATTGTAAACACCTCTGACAAACCCCCATTGACTATAAGTTGTGCCGTTTGTTTTTGATAAATAACACCAAGAGCTTGTAAAATTTTTTCTCCGAAATTCATTTTCTCAATTAATCTTAACATAAATTGCCAATTCAATTGATCAAACACTTTTTCAGCATCTAAAAATATCAATCCTGCAGGAACTTGATTATTTTTATCTAAATATTCTAATAAATTGATAATTTGTCTAACATTATTCTTCATATATCTTCCAGTTATAAAACCTGTTTGGTCTGTATGTATAATGTAGTGCAAAACCCTCATGAGCCTATTGGCTAAATTTTTTGCAAAAAATCTTATAATCTACATTTAAAAGAGATATAGGTCTGTAATTCTTTGGTAAAGTAAGGTCTTGATCTTCTTTTGGAATTAAAGATATAAAGGCTCTGCCCCATGACGGGGGGATCTCTGAACCCTGTAATATATTATTAAAGAGCTCACTTAAAGATTGAATCATCTCTTGTAGCAAAGTTTTATAATAAATAGATGTCAAGCCATCTGTACCCGGTGCTTTACCTAATTTTAATTCTTTGATCATTGTCTTAATTTCCTCACTAGTAATCAAACCATTAATTTCTTGTTTCTGATCTTCTGTTAATTTAGGGAAGTTGGCTTCATTTAAATAATTATCTATATCTAAAACCTGTACTTTAGCAACCCCATCCAGTTGTCTTTTGAAAAAGCACCTTTGAGACTAACAGTGACTCCTCTGCCACAGAGATTGTAGTACCAGGGCTTGCAACCATGACAGGGAGGTTGGTTGCACCAAATTCTGCATCTTTTGTATATTTGGAGCATTGTCAAAGGGCACAAACTGCACAAAGGTTGCAGTACAGCACCCACTGTTGCATGGTCAGTCCCTGCTTCTGTTTCTAGGTCAGATGTCATGCTGATCTTTTCCATTGTTCATGGAAAAGTATCACCAGAATGGAGATTAATGTCAGGCAGAAAAAAAAGGTGCACATAGGAAGGTTCAAATAAACTGACTTATTGATTAAATTATGAGCATAAAGAGATAAAGGTCAACAGCATTCAAGGGGAGTTGGAGAGTTACTTCACTTGTGGCTATGGAAGGCCTCTAAACTAATTCCTTTTTTCACTCTTCCCTCTGGTTCTACCAACCTTCTATATAAATAAAATTACTCTTCATTATAGTTATTGGGCAGCAAACACTTTGAATAAAAGATAAGGCAGAAACAAGAATACATTTCATTTCATTTTATTAAATTTCTCATATTATTAATATCTGATAACTGATTGAGTGGAAATAGATTCATGGATAGAGAGTGAATGGTTATGACCCAACAAGAAAGCCTTTTTTAAAAATGGAGTACTGTATATAGGATTCACAAATTCAATAAATTTTATATTTGAAAGAACCCTAAAAATTCCAAAACTGATATTTTATGATACTGTGTTAAATATATGTTCTTAAAGCTATGGTATTATTATAACTTTATATATATTTCCTATAGGGAGTACTCTTTCTATTCCTTTTTTTCAGAAATTTCTCTGAGCCAGAAAAACCACATGATGTACTAATTTCTCTTTGTGAGTTGCTCCCTGAGATTTAGCTGAGGCCTGAAAACTATGATGTAGCATTTTGGCAAAAATATGCATCCCACTAATGCTGCACTGGAGGACAAGATGGAGAAGACCTCCACAGCTACCATGGCTTTTCCTTTCGTACTCAGATAGGATGGAAAGAAGGAGATCCACACACTGCAAAAGGCCAACATGCTGAAGGTGATGAACTTGGCTTCATTAAAGGTGTCAGGTAATTTACGGGCAAGAAAAGCTACAATAAAGCTGGCAATGGCCAAGACACCCATGTAGCCCAACACAGAGAAGAAAAAGAAAGCTGATCCCTCATTGCACTGTAAGATCATTTCTTTCAGCTCTGAATGCATATCCAACTCAGGAAATGGGGGAGATGTCAACAACCAAAGAATACATATAAACACCTGGAAGAGAGAGCAGGAAAGGACAGTGCAAAAAGCCAATCTTTTCCCCACCCATCTCTTCATCTGAGATCCTGGTTTAGTTGCCATGAAAGCAACAACCACAGTGATGGTTTTAGCCAATACACTAGAAATGGCCACAGAGAAGGTGATGCCAAAAGTGGATTGTCGGAGGAGGCAGGTCACTTTGCCAGGCTGGCTGAGGAAGAAGAAAGAGGAGAGAAAACATAGCTGAAGAGAGACAAGCAGGGTGTAGGTGATGGACCGGTTGTTGGCTTTGACAATGGGAGTATCCCTATGCTTAATAAAAGTTCCAAGTACCCAAAATGTCAAGAAGAAGAAACCAAGAGCTTCTGCAGCTAAACCAATTCCTAGGGTTTCTTCAAAGGTTAGAAACACCATAGCTTTCAGGTTACATCCATTCTTTTCCTCATTTGAATAATGATCTTCTGAACATTCAAAACAGTCATCCATATCTGGAAGGAAAATCAAGGAATTTGTCTTTTTAGTAATTCCATACAGTTGAAACTCACTTAATTTTATTGAACTAAATTGTTTTATTAAAGTTTTCTTAAGTCCAATGAAAATTGGTAGAATGCTTACCTACCATTTTGATTTGAAATCTTCCCTTCTGGGCATGGAACACAGTCATAGCAGCAGAATTGTTCCCCCTCAATTCCTTTCTTCCAGTATCCAGTGAAACAAGGGTTATTACATCTAGAAATTGGGAGAAGCTGGTAATAAACATAAAACATTTTGAAAAGGGACATATTTTTAAAATTTATATTTTTTTCCTTTATGGAGAAAAATATTTTTGACTTCCCAAGAAAATACTGAATTTATCAACTTTATCAACAATAATAAAAAGTAGAAATCAGAATGATGTACAAAAGATTCTGTTTAAAGGGCAGGATGAGTAAATATTTGTACATGGTGACAATCTCATGGAAACATGGCCACTCTTGTGATTTCAAACATAAATGCAAACCAAATATGCAAACATGGCTTTTACATTTTAATCTCATTTTTCCAACTTGAGGAATGCTTGATCATCAACAACATTTGAAAGAATGTGACATTGTTTATTAGAAAAAAAGAAAGTAGGTTTCTAAAGAGACTATGTTGAATATGGCATCATAATGGATTAAGGCATGGTTGATTCAATAGTTCGAGACCTGGTTAAAAGATGTGTGCCAGACAATCACATCTTCATCAATGAATAATTCATTCCCTTTTGGACTACTGGAATCCATCTTTCCCACTCTAACTCTCTCAAAGGATCTGTTTGGAAAAGTGATCAAGTTGGTGATGTCAAATCCACCTGATGCTTCTCCTTTCTCATTCAGGAAGACTCTCTCCCCAGCTGAATTGTTGAAAGAAATGCCATGAAGAAATGAATGGAGCTACTTGAAAGATAATGAAAAAGAGAGGGAATTGAAAACAATATAACAAATAAGAAAACATCATATTCAAGTTACATTCACTAATTCTTCCAATTCCAATAACTATTATTAAATATGTATACTTAGAAATTTGATAATCAATATTTCATGGAAATGTACATGTTCACTCATTATTCATTTGATATTATTTTAAGGAAAGGTAACAATGAACTGAAGCAGAATGAAAATAGGCTTTTGGAATTATGTAACTTCCTTCAATTATGTTTTAGGTCCACTATTTAAACAACTAATTCAAGATAGATCATATCTAATCTTTCTTCATTTGTGAGTCTGGTGTGACTAATTTCCCTTAGCCAGATTTTAGAATCTGTGACTCAAGCTTTCTTTGATAGATAAATGAGAAGTAGACACTATTACAAACAGAAAAACAGAATAACAATAGAAGCCCATTTTCTGTATCAATTTTATACAGCACTGTACAGTATAAGAGAGTTGGAAGGAATCTTGGAAGTCTTCTAGGTTAACATCCTGCTTAAGGAGAAGACCCCATACCATTTCAGACAAGTGGCTGTCCAAACCCTTCATAAAAATCTCCAGTGATGGAGCAAACAAATCATCTAAAGGACAACTGTTTCATTAATTAATTGCTCTCATTGTCAGGAAATTCTTTCTTATTTCTATGTTGTTTCTTCATCTTGATTCCACATGCAGAAAACACTAAGACTTTCCACATTGGGTTCAAAAGATAATTTTATGTCAAACTGCTCATTGAAGTAAAAGAAGTGTCCAATGTAAAGCGAATACCTGCCAAGACTGCAGATTTGGAAGATCAAATTCTTTATGCATTGTAGCTGTCTTACTATTGAATCTCAACTTGTATAGAGCCTGTAAAGCATGAGTCACAACATAAACAGCATTGTAGATACTGTAACTTTGGCCAGTCATTGCCAGTTCAAATGCAGGCCCAGGAAGGTTCTCCAGCTTCATCTCCCCAGTGCATTTTCTACTGTGAATTCCTTGTAACTCTGGTTTTGGAAATGAACAATCAAATAATTGTTCCCAAACTTCCTGCAGAAACCCATCTCTATAGACTGAAAGTGGATTTATGGTCTGAAGGAATTCCTTGAAACCTACAACTGCTCTGGAATGAGGAGTAAAGGAAATAGCCCCATGGAACATCTGGAGGTCCCAGTTGATTTGAAATCCTGATAATATGAAATCAATCTGTGCAGTCATGATCCACACCTTTCTAAATAATGCAATTTCCCTACTTTCAGGATCTACCATAAATGTGACAATTCTTAGCCACATAATTATCAATGCTTCTCCGTAGACAAGAAATGCATTGGCTTTGCTATTTATCCAATTCCATGAAATAATTGAGATTGTTTGATAAACTTCTGGGAAGTTTTCCAGGTATACTTGTGAAAGCCTTTGTATGAATGAAGAGCAGATTCCATTCTCTGAAAGTAAGAACTGCATTTTCTGTAAGAAATTTTCTCCATTGTTGTTACCAACGGAAAATATCCCTATCCATGTCCACCGGAAATGATGAAGCAGTTGGATAATCCCAATGTACTGATGGTCCTCTTTTGGGACCATGAAATAAAGTGAAGATCGCTTACTGGTCTCAAATTCCTCTTGGGCTAATGAGCCATATGTAAGCTGCAAGAAAGTGGAGCAGTAGAAAGTAGAGCAATTAGATCAAATCTAATTGTCCTGATTTAGTTTTCATATCAAATATATCCAAGGAAGGAATTATTTTCCTGAAATATTGGTAAGCATTAATATGGAAATAAATTCCTTGGAATTATTTCAAACACATATAACTGATTAAGCAAAGAGATCAAATCTTCCCTCCAGTATGGAATGCCTATGGGTACTTATTTCCTGTATTTGGCATTGTAGTTTCAGAATTATGCTACAAATAGGTAGAACATCTTAAGCCAGGTAGATCATCTTAACACAAATCTGAAACTTATTTTTAATGCTCCTTAATTATTCAATAATAACAAAAGCACCAGAATATAGAATTTTTCTCTTTAACCCTTTCACAACCTACTTGTGGAATCTTGAAGAATCCTGTAATTTCAGCTATATAAGATGATGTATCAAAATCCAATCCTCCAATGATAGCTATGAGATACTTCTGGCTATCACATTTGTAGTTAGGGACAAATTCCTGGGATTTGAAAAGGAGGTCCAGAGTGGTACGGTAGGTCATCCTTGGGTTGTGGTAACTATCATAGATGTGGAACCCAAGAGTGATGTTAGGTAAGATCTGGGCGTCTGCATTGATCTCCTTCACAGCAAAGGCCAAGGCAAGGGCATGCTGATGAAATTTGGTTATTACGCTACAAATAGGTTAAATTCCCCCATTGAAAAAATAATGTTACAATCCTTGTCAAGTGGTATCATTTCTATATAAATAACAAACATTTTTTGACAGTAGTGGGAACACAATAGCTTTTGTAAAATGCTTAATAATTCATATAGAGTTCAGATATATTTTAAACAGCATTTCCATGACTTCCAACAAATATATATTACAACAAATACAAGTAGTGAGTTTTTGCAATTTATTATATTTGTATTGTATGGGTTTTTCAAACTATGGTATATGAACAGATTCATCAGGTGTCACTCATTTATTGTATGTTTTTTTTTTTTGTGAGGAGAGATAATGCCAAACCTTCTTTAAAAAATTATCTTGACCTCAGTAAATGTTCAGATAGAGATTCTTGATCTGAAATTTTCTACATTTCATGTGACAGACTTTAAAAGAATGTTATTTTTTATTTCTTTTCTGATAACCAGATATAATTCAAAGAAAAACTAGGTGTAGATTAGATTAAAAATGCTACATTTATGCACAAACAGCTTTTACTCATATAAAGGGTTTTTGCAAATTTGGGTAAGATTAGATAAAGGAAAAATTCTTACATTGGTATTTCATAAGGTTTTATAGAAGGATTTTCATTAAATTTAAATTCATAAAGGTGATATTCTATGTGGGATACCATCTCACCAATGATGAAGTCTCCAGGCTGGTACCACTCATGTGGAACAAGGAAAGCATCACTTCCAGGACAGCTCTGAGTAGCTACCTTGTGCACCAAAAACATAAGAAACAACATCTTGATGCTTTTGTATTGTGAAAATGTTTTGCATTTCATCCTACCCATAGGAAAGCTTATATAATCCAATACTTCTTCTAAAGATTGATCTAAGGATTATATTTGAGAATTCATCTAAACAGAAAATCTATCATTTTCTATTTGAGGATCCATAGGAGTGCAAATTTGTATCTTGAATATCACAGGGATTTGAACAGATATTCTGGCAGAAGAGAACAGAGGGTGGAAGCTTGAAGCAATGAATGTGACAGAACCATGATTACCCCTTGAACCAAACTTTCTGAGGGTGAAGACTTACTTTATAGCCAAACAGATACCTTGATTGTTGTTGAATTTCCATAGACCCCTGTGCAGCCTTTAATGTTTTGATCTATAGTAATTCCTCTAGGATATATTGGCAGAAGAGAACAGAGGTCGAAACCTGAAGCAATGAATTGACAGAGACATTATTTCCTCTTGTACCAAATTCTCTGGAGGGTCAAGGCTTACTTTATAGCCAAACAAAGACCTTGATTGTTATTAAATTTCAATAGTCTTATGTGCAGCCTTTAAGGTTTTGGGCAATAATAATTCCTCTGGGATATAACTATTTTGCTTTGATGAGTTAATAAGTAGCTGATGGTTCAGTTATTTTTTTAAAAAATGAGCAAATGCCAACAAAAGTGGCATATGGAAGATTTGCAAATCATTTATTTTGTTAAAATTGTAGAAATAAAAATAGTGTTTCTTTCAAGACAGTTTTTTCTACCAATTTTTCACAAAATAGAAAATGAACAGATCCAACAGGTATCGGTCATTTATTGTAGGTAGGTCTTTTTAGGAGTAACAATGCAGAATCTTTTTAAAAAGTTACCTAAACTCTCTAAGCTCTTCCAAAGATTTCTTACACCAACGTTTCATACGTCATTTGACAAAATATTCTAAAGGATATTATTTTGTCTCACACAACTATTAACATTTGAAAGACAGAGTGGCTTACATCAGATATAAAGCCTACATTTTATACAAGGATGTTCCTTAAATTTAAATTCATGAAAGTGATAAACTATGTGGGACACCTATTATGAGATCACCAGCTTTACATGGGACTTCCCTTGAAAAATATCCAGAAGCTACAATTTGTTCAAAATGCAACCGCACATATGGTTTTCTGCAGACCCAGGTGTGTACATGTGTCACCTCTCCTGTGAGAGCTCCATTGGCTGCCAATTGCTTCTAGCTAAAGGTTGTTACCTTTAAACTCTAACACGGGTGGGACCATGTTAACTGAAGGACCATTTCATCCTGGTCACATCCACATGACCCAATAGAATCAGGAGGCAGGGAATGTTGAAGGTCTTCTCTCCTAAGAAAATAGATTTAGTACTCAGAAAAAGGGCCTATGATGGCTCCCTCTCTTTGGAATTTCATCCCCATGAAGATTAAATTGGCCCCTACTTTGATAGCCTTTCCCAAGACCCAGAAGAACTGGTTTTCCAATGGTCATGTGGTACCCATGTGGGATGGATCAAGTGACTTATCTAACTGATTCTTATTCCCAAGAGAATAGGGGGTTATTGTTTTTATTGTTTGGGTTGTTAGATAAAATCTATTTTTTCTGATAAAAAATATTCCAAAAGCATTTTTTCCCTAGAATTCCTCTAAATATTAATATGGAAATGAGTTTGTTGTAATTATTTCAAACACATATAACTGATCAATTGTTTTAATAGGAGCAAGGAGTGTCATATTTAAAACTTCCCTCAGTTATTGAATCTCCCTGGATATTCACTTCATGTAATTGGCATTGGTTTCAGAAAAAAGTTCTAATTAGTAGATTTTAAGCCATGCTGAACATCTTAATACAAGCCTTAAAGTAATCTTTGATTTAATTATTTAATTATTCCATAACAACAAAATATAGCTTTTTCCCTTTCAACCCCATCACAGCTTACTTGTGGAATCTTTTTAAAAATATATATTTTATTGTTTTTGTAACAGAGTAACTTTAATATTTAATAAACAATGTGTTGTCTGTTTATAGAAATTAATTGTCAATAACAATTAATTTCTATAATTCCATAATCCACATAGTAGCTTTCCTTGATTTTCTCTTCTTCCAATAATGTTCTCTTTTATCAACCTTAAATTAATACATTTCAGTATTTTGATAGATAAAAATTGAATATAAATATTTTCGAGTATTTATGCAAGTAACAACAACATCAATAAGGCTTTTTTCTAATTAAACATCTTAATTACCTCATCATAGATCCTGTTTTCAAAGTTCTTATTTAGATTTGTTTTCCCCTCAATGTTCAAGACATTCTTATCCATTAAGATTTTCTCAGAGTTAATTACACTTAAGTATCTAAGTCTTTTTCCTCATATAAGCCATCCCAACAGTTTTACATTTCTCATGTCTTAAAGAGAGAGAGAGAGAGAAGAAAGGAGATACTATACTGCTTCAAAAACATATCCCTCTTAAGCTAAAATACATTTATATCATTACACTTAAGCATCTAAAACATTTCCCTCATACTAAACACCCCAACATTTTTATATTTCTCATATCATAAAAAAATACTATATTACTTGAAGGACCCATCCCTCTTAAACTAAAATTCATTTATATCCAGAAATTTTCTATTTCTTTAACCATATTCAAACAAGTGGTTAATCTTTAGATATTCCATCTGATAAATCCCATCATCTAATTTCTTGATTCTAACTTTAGCCTTTTTTTTTTGCCAAACCTCTTTCCTAATCAGTATGCTCTGCTGAACCAAAAAATTTTCTTGTAGCTTTGTAAATGTTGTTGTACGTGCAAGAGACAAGTCAAGTAAAATGTTTTTGTGGGAAGGTTTTGGCAATTCATATTCATTGAAAATCCTTTTCTTTCTTTCTCTCTTAATTTCTCTTATCATTTTTTGTCTCTCAAGTTCTCATAGTTCTCCTGACATCTCTACAATCCATTTTGTTGAATCTTTTTTCTTGACCTCAGACTTATTTTGCAATACTGAAGTATAAGTTATCTTTTCCGTGTCCAATATTTCCTGCATTTTTTTTCCGCCTGGAGAAATGACATACTATAACATACCCTCAAATCACAGTCCTGAATGAATTAATACAAATGCAGAACAGACTTGGTGGCTCATATATTCATATATTATTTTGGTTTTTCATATGATGTACAATGATGTGAAAAAGAAAGTATACCTTCTTTGAGTTATTTGATTTTAGGCATCAGGATATAGTAAAAATTATATGTCCCTTAGCAGTTCTTAAAAATAGATAAATACAACCTCAGATGAAGAACCACACATATTATACCCTGTCATCATTTATTTTACAAAAAGGAAGCCAATATGGAGAAGCCATTTGAAGAGAGATTCCTTAAGTGACTTTCACTGGTGTAATTGATGTTATATACCAAATAGTTGGTGGAGCTACAAATAACCTATATTAAAATTGGTTTCATTTTCATTTCATTTCATTTCATTTTCTTATTTAAAGAAAATTGGAGTTTCATATCTGGAAATGTTTGTCAAGATATTCATTTGCTCTAGGACATTTTCATAATCCTTTCTTGATAAACTAAAAGATACAGTAACCCCAGTTAATTAATGAACTCTTAATTGATTATATACATCCCATTTAAAGTCAGTATCCTTGGGAAAAATAACTTTCACATGATACAATAAAAATTCTCCCTTTTTATGACCCTGAAATTACTTAATTTGGGATAGATTTGTGGTGATGGGATAGACCTGAGCATTTACTGGACAGATGCCCTGCAGAGTTCGCAGCATATATTTTTCCTTGTGCCCTAGGAAAGAAATATCTGCCACTATCTAGAATTGAACATTTAACCTTCTGAGCATGAGGTCACCATGCAGATCTTTCACATGATACAATAACTTCATTTTATTAGTTGTTTCTTGGTGTTTAGTTCTGGCCTCATCACAAAGATGAAACATTTTGGGAAGAAGATACATCCCAATAAACCAGCACTGGAGAACAAGATGGAGAAGATCTCCACAGCCACCATGGCTTTTCCATTGGTACTCAGATAGGTTGGAACAAAGGAAATCCACACACTGCAAAAAGCCAACAAGCTAAAGATGTTGAACTCATTAAAAGTGTCAGGTAAATTACGGGCAAGGTATGCCACAATAAAGCTGGTTATAGCCAAGAAGCCCAAATAGCCCAGGACACAATAGAACATGAAGATGGAGCCTTCATTGCATTGCAAAATCATGATTTCTATAAGGAACTGCACGTCTAACTCAGGGAATGGAGGAAATATTACCAGCCATAGAATGCAAAGAGCTACTTGAAGAAAAGAACAAGAAAGGACAATGGAAAGAGCCAAACTTTTCTCCACCCATTTTCTCAATGAAGAACCTTGCTTAGTAGCCATAAAAGCTACAACCACAGTAGTAGTTTTAGCTAACACACAAGAAACAGCAACTGAGAAGATGATGCCAAATGCTGGTTGCCGGAGAAGGCAGATTACTTTTCCTGGTTGAGTAAGGAATAACAAGGAACAGAAAAAACAGAGCAGAAGGGCAATGAGTAGTGTGTAAGTGAGGTCCCGGTTGTTGGCCTTGACAATGGGGGTATTTCTACACTTAAGGAAAATTCCAAGCACACTGATTGTAATGAAGGAAAAGGAAAGAGCAGCTGAAGCCAGACTGATTCCTAAAGGTTCTTCAAAGTACAGAAAACTCATTGTTTTGTTAAGGCTTTGATCTTGATCTTTACTTGGATACTGATCTTCAGGACATTTGAAACAATCTTCTGTATCTGAATAAAAAGATCAAAAAGAAACTCATTTACTTTCTATTTCATTCCTCTTTCTGAAATATTCTATGCCACTGTTTGAAGACTGACAGTCCTTCCAATCTCACTTGGCCATAGCCCTGTTTTCCAAGAAGAATTTCTCAAATTTACAAAATTAGGAGTGTTATAGGGTCTGAGGTGAAAAACTAATCTTTTTCATCAAATCTCTTTCAAGTTTTTGCTTGATTTACTGTTACGTGACATGTACTGCTGACAGAGAAATAGTTCTTGAAAATGATGCATGAGTAATATTCCTTGAAATATCTCAATTAGTAAATCTAAGTTTAAAAGAGGAAACTATGAGGCTACAGAATTATCCTTGTAAAAAACTGCCTTTCCTACACCATTTATCCATTGCAAGACACCATTCTAAATATTTACTTTTATTCAAAAGCAATTTTTTGTCCCACCCACCCCCTCTATTTAGGTAGACACAGAAAACCTATCCCAGCAGCCCCATAATTTCTGTTTGTTAACAAAGTTTCCATAACTCTTCTTAGACTATTTAGTTTACTGTATATGAGTCTCAGTTTTGAACCCTTTGAAATTCTTGCAGTTTAGTTCAAACATGGCTGAATGCATTGTGGAAAGAATACACATTCCATATCTTCCCATTATTCTTACAGTAAAGTGTTTTCTTTTCCATATATTGCTTACACAATGTTCAATTGTTCATATTCAATTGTTTTTCTGGGATTTTAGAGGAAATATTTTTTTGTAAGTTTAAGCAAACTGATTGAAAGTTTCCTCAATATAATTGTGTATGTACATTTCTTTCTCTCCCTCCGTCCTCTCTCTCTCTCTCTCTCTCTCTCTCTCTCTCTCTCTCTCTCTCTCTCTCTCTCTCACACACACACACACACACACACACACACACACACATCAATATTGATTATTGCATTTTTCCAGCCAATTTTACAAAGTATCACAATATTCTCTGATTTGACAAATTATTATTAACTGAGATTTATATAGATTATGGCTGTTCCTTGCTTAACAGGCTGGGAAACTTCATCTTTATAAAGATATAGATATATGTATATCAGAACAAATTGTAACTTTTTGACAAACAATTTCTTTTCAGCCAATGTCTCCAAAAATTAAACGACTTCATAACTGACTAATTTTGCTTGAAAACCTCCCATGTGGATATAGAACACAGTCATAGAAGCAAAAACTTTTCTCTTCAGATTTTCTCTTCCAATATGCAGGGTGACAGTATTGATTACACAGAGTAACTGGAAGTATCTGCTAATGAAAAAAAAAAGATTGCAGAGATAATTTGTAAGTTGTTACTTAAGGAAGTTGTAAAAATATATACATTTTATATGCATGTATGCCCATATCTTATTAAAACATTTGTGCCATTCAAAAAAATGCCTTCAAGAAGTGGATGGATCTACTTGAAAAAGAATAAGAAACTGGAAGAATTGTTCATAACATTAAAAAAAAATCAAGGAATTCACCATGATTTTCTCAATTGATATATGGGTGCTATGTGTGCAGTCATCTGACCTGTTGAAGAATAGTCATACCTGCTTAAAAGCTTTGTGCCATTCAATCATATTTTCATTAATAATCAATTTATTTCCATCTGGAGCATTGGGATCCAACCTTCCAACTTTCACGCTCTGGATGGATTTGTTTGAAAAGGCGATCATGTTAATGATGTCAAATCCCCCTGCAATTTCCATCCTTTCATTAAAGAACACTGTTTCTCCTGCAGAGTTGTTGAAAGAAATGCCTTGAAGAAATGGGTGCAGCTACTTGAAAAGAAGAAGTAGTAGTAGTAGTAGTAGTAGTAGTAGTAGTAGTAGTAGTAGTAGTAGAAGGAGGAGGAGGAGGAGGAGGAGGAGGAGGAGGAGGAGGAGGAGGTGGTTAAAGAATATTAAGATTAATATAGGAAAAAATCATTATATTCAGTAATGAGCACAATGCTTTCCATTGTCATGGTTAAAAAAAAGCAATGCATTACTGTGAACAGTACAAAATTATTTCACATATTCTTCTTGGATAGAATGTTAAATGGAATCCAGTGGTAGGATTTACTCAGGACAGAAGAACACTTTCTTCATGAATGTATCAATTATTGATTGATTTAATCATAGCTATTTGAATGATATATTGTGTCTGGAAAATAAGGCTGATCTCATTTCAAATCATTTTCCAGTAATTTTTCACATTTGTTGGACAACTTAAAAGGTGGTACATCTTGAGGTTCTGGGATTTTATCCATCAATGTTTTACTCTGAATGGATTCTTTTGATAGTAAGGCTTGCAAAGAATGAGCCACAACATAGATACCATTATAGATGCTATGACCTTTCATTTGCATTTCAAAGTGAGGTCCAGGAAGACTTTCCAGATTCTCCTCTCCAGTGCATTTTTTAATGTCCATTGCTGGTATTCCTGAATTAGAAAAAAAAAACAGTCAAATGCTTCCTCCCAAAAATCTTTTAGAAATCCATCTCTTGGTCTCCCAAATGGTTTTATGGACTTCAGAAATTCTTTGAATGCTAGAACTTCACCTGAGTGTATCTGAAAAGAAATGGCCCCATCAAACAATTGGAGATTCCAAGTCTTTAAACTTCCTGTTAGCATGAAGTCAACTTGACTGGTTGTAATCCATACTTTTCCAACAGATGCATTTAATCTGTCATCAGGATCTCTTAGAAATATGGGTGATAGGAGCCACGGAATTGTATAAGATTCTCCATAGAGAATAAATACATTTGCTTTAATATCTATGAGATATGTATACAAAATATTCATTTTATAGCTAAATGTGTGTAGGCCATCCAAAGGAAGCAGAAGGGGTATTCTTTGTATGAAGGCTGGACAGATTCCATGCTTGGAAAGCATCTCCTGTAGCTTCTTCAAAAAGTGTTCTCCACTCTCATTACCAACAGCAAAGAGCCCAACCCATTTCCATCCAAAATGTTGAAGCAATTGCATGATCCCAATGTATACAGGACCCTCATTTGGTGCCATAAAATAAAAATTAGATAACCTAGTGACATGAAATTCTTTTGGGGGAAATGATCCATATGGAAGCTAAAAGAAAACAACAACAAAAAGAGAGAGAGAGAGGATTTGGATAGCATATTTTGTTTTGTCTCTTCATCTTCATGAATTAGTTTAAAACCTGGTCAGATTTATTTATTTAATTCATATTTCATGTTTCTGGACTGCCCATATATCTTATCATTTATAAAAAGAATTCCAATAGAACATTGCTTAAATTATGAGAATGCAGGTCAATTTCATTATTTTCTAATTGGAATATCATCAGATACCAGCAGGTTGAAATCCATCTTCACAAGTACAAGCTAATATATTATTTTCAATCTCTTGTTAAGTATGGAATCAGACTTCCTTCCATTCATGTTTTTGTGAGGATAAATACATGAGAATATACACGTAAGAAGGTTCTTACTTTTTAACTAATTAAGAACAACAGAAATTTCCTTATCCCTGGACCTACCTGTGGAATTTTGTAGAATTCTACTGTTTCTGCCATATGGGATGAAGTACCTGATCCAAGTCCTCCAATGATGGCCATGAGATTTTTTCTGATGTCCACATTTATAGTTGGGCAGAAATCTATCTGATTTGAAAAGTAAGTCCAGGATGGTCCGATAAGTCATCTTGGCATTATTATAGCTGTCATATATGTGGAATCTAAGGGTAACATTGGGCAAGATTTGTAGGTTCTCATTGATCTCCTTGACAGCAAAGACCAAGGAAAGGATGTGTCGGTAAAATTTTGTAATCATACTGTAAATAAAGAAAGTCTTTAAGAAAACAATTCTACAGTGAATGAATTAGTTGATCATCAAGAATAGTCATTTGTACCTGTGATTGGAATTTACAAAAATGTCATGATTTAGGATTTTGTTGTGTATTACATTGTATCATGGAAGTCATTCATTAAAAATACACTATTTCATATTTGTATTTTTTTATTGATGAGAAAGATTGTGTGCCTGTTTCATATAGATGAAACTAAATTTATTCCACTTTATTTACCTTCCTTTTAACCAAAGAACTAGGGGATACATGATAGCATTGTTCCAATATTTGGGAGGCTGCCACAAAGAAGAGGGGAGGACAACCTATTTTTCAAAGCACCACAAGGAAGAAAAGAAACAATTGATAGAACCTAATTAAGGATTGAAGCAACCTAGAACTAAGAAGAAATGTCTTAACAGTGAGAACAATTATCCAGTAGAATGGCTTGCCTTCAGAAGCTGTGGGTGCTCCATCACTGGAGGCTTTAAGAAGAAACTGGATAGGTACTTGTCTGGAATGGGATAGGGCCTCCTGCTTGAGCAGGGATTTCGATTATAAGACCTCCAAGGTCCCTTCCAACTCTGTATTCTGTTATTCTATTCTACTACCATTTTTGTTCCTCAATTTCTTCATCCTTCTTTGGAAATTTGTTATTTGGAAAGAACATTTCTGACCTTTATGTATTAGGAATTCCCACCTTCATATATTTATAGTCTAAGTATTATGGAATCTGTGGTTGATCCCTGTTTGAATGACAGAGCAGGAAAAGACAATGGAAAGGGTCCATTTTTCCCCTATCCATGTCTTTGCAGTTGACCCTGGTTTTGTGAGACAAGAGGGACAAGGGTGGTTTTGGCTAACACACAGGAAACAGCCACAGAGAAAACAATCTCAAAAGATGGTCATTGGAGAAGGCATGTCTTTTCCCTGGCTGGCCAAGGAATAACAGAGGACAAAGGAAGCAATGAGAGATGAGGACAGCATAAGTGAGCTCTCAGTTGTTGGCTTTAACAAGGGAGGCATCTCTGTATTTTATGAAAATTCCTAACACTGCAGCATTGATGATGGACAAGAAAACTGCAGATGAAGTTAAAGTGATGCCAAAGGCTTCCTCATATGTCAGGAATTTTTTTTCTTTTGGGAAGACATTGCTCCTTGCTTGGGTATTTGTCTTCTGAATATCTAAAACATTATAAGAAAATGTCTTCTTGGTCCATGATGCTAAGGTTAAGATTACATTCTACTCATCCAGATATGGAGTAAGGGCTATAACCCTGATTTATGTTTTGTTTCCATATGCACAATAGACGATTACATTGTAACAAAAGAGTACTAACAGATTTCCCTTGAAGACAGCACTATTAAATACTGGAGTACAGATCACAATTGTAAGATTGACCCCTAAGCCTTGATGAAATTTTCAAAAATGCCAAATGGAAAACATTTGTGCTGAACTCAACCACAGCATCCAATGGAGCCCCCCTAAGGAAGAAAATGACAATTGTGGGATTGCTACTTTCTGTAATTAAGAAGAATATCCCAAGGGGAGGCTTCCAGTTCTGGTTCACGGTGGTGCGGTCAAGCAAAGGGTGTCGTCCCTTTGCCAATCGAGTTTCCCCTGCTGGTAGACCCCTTAGAGCATCGAAAAGGTGCTCTGGAGAAGCGTCTACCATTGAGGAGGCTTCTCGGATAGTTGCAGAGGGGTGGTGGCATCCTCTGTGCACCGGGTTATCTCCTTTGGGCCGACAGGGTAAAGATTGGCCAGTAAAATGGCTGATCATTTAGCTGTGCCAACCGCAAGCCACAAGATCAGCTAAGCAAACGGACCCACTGTGGAGAACTCAGTGAGACTTTCCTTTCACCTCTATTTTCTTTATGCCTGTGAAAAGTCTTTTTTTTTCTTGGAATTATTCTCTGATGTTCTGTCATGAGTCATTCAGATTATCTATAACTTTTATACTAATTTAACAAAATGCACAATGGGTGCTTTTTTGGGGAGTGTATAGTATGGCAGGCAGAGGCCCGATTATGGAAACCTGTTTGGACTAGAAAGAAACCCAGAATAAGATACAAATATTAAATCTGATTACAGTAATGTGGTAAAGGCTTTATAGTGATCTGGATTAATTTGAACTTGGACTTTATTAAAAGGGTTTTAAATGTTTTTTAATATTAGAGATGGTATAATGAGAAAAGAACTGAAATATGGGAAATGATGGAATTAATAATTGGAGATTTGGAGAAACAGTGAAAAAAAAATAGAAGATTGGTAAGAAAGAGAAGAATTTATTTTTGGAATTAATAATGCTTAAATAAAAAAACACTTGGGGCACCTGAATAGTAAATGAATATGTTAGTTTAAGATTAAATACAGAAAGAATACATTTCATATCATGACATTTCACTAAATTTCCAATATTTTTAAAATCTGATAATAGGTCACAGTGAAAATAGAACAAGGGATAGAGAATAACTGCTTGCGGCCCACAAGTTCAAATAAATGTACAGGATTCAGAAACTTTTTAAATTTTACATTTCAAAGAACCCTAAACAATCCAAAACTGTTATTCCATGATACAGTACTAAATACATGTTCATTAAATGTTAATCAGCTTTCTACTATATTTGTACAGTGGTTTATGAATAGAAAGTATAAAAGCCATGAAAGAGTTTGCAGACTTTGAATATCCTTTAAGTCAATATCTGAACTCTCCTAACAGTACCAAAGAAATCTAGATTCTGAAAGTCTTTTTGAGGTAATGTGTTGAAAAGGTGAGAGGGGTTAAGTTAAACAATCTTTGAAAATGTTTGAAAATACAGCAGCATGAACACTTCTTTTTGAATGGGTAATGTTAATAAATCTCAATAATCATAACAATTTTCCAAAAATCCTCCTTTCATG